ATACTTAAAGGCTTCAGAGTTTCCTTTAACTATACTTCCCTTTAAGTAAATAATAATAATAATAATAATAACTGTTTTAGAAAATGTTTGGAAAAATAATCTGACAAGAATAAGAACAACCTGGTCATATGCCAATCTGACAAACCATGTGCACTCGGCCCCTGGGGCCCTAATAATGACGTAATCTATGTGTTCCTTGACCAAAACACCCATATTAACTAGAACGCTCATTTTGAGTATTTGGATATTATTCAACGACCTGAAATTCTCTGCACCCAATAATTGCATTTGACAGTGACCATGTACCAAGTACTACTCAAGAGCAAAGATGAGTGAGAAACTGTCTTTATACTCATAGTTTAAGAAAAAAGAATAAAATGTAAATACATCATTCAAGCAAAGATGTCTACCCTGCTCCACAACATGGAGAAGTAGGAAATAGCCTGGAGAAATGATGGGGTCATTAACAGAAAATAGCATTCATGTTTGGCAGTTACAAAAAAAGATTTTCAAGGCTGATGCTATGGTGTAGCAAGCTAAACCTCCGCCCGCGCCATCAGCATTCCACACGGATACCAGTTCAAGTCCCAACAGCTCCACTTCTGATGCACCCCCCTCGCCACCACCACTCCCAAATGGCACGCAGGATGGCTCAGATGCTGGGGCCCGCATCCATGTGAGGAAACCCTGAAGAGGTTCTGGTTCCTCCCTTTAGACTAGCCCTGCTCTGCAATTTGAGGAATGAATCAGAAGATGAAGATCTCTCTTCTGAGCTCTGTTTTTCAAGTAAAATAAATCTTACAAAGGGGAAGTGATGGTTCCCTGACACACGTCCAGTCCAATAGCAAGAACCAGTGCGCCCAGGGGTTTCTCCTTCTCCACACATCCACTCCAACCCATTTTGTGGCCCACCTGGGTCTCTATCCCCCTCGGCTTTATGTTAAATATTAACACCAATTTTAAAAATAAAATAATTTTAAGAGTAAGAGGTGAGCAAGACAGGTGAGGTTTTTCTTAAGATGGGCAAACGTAGGCAAAGTGCAAGAAGAGACAAAGGCAGCAGCCAAGTGGCTGTGGCTGTGGCTAATGGGGCACGAGACACAGCACCCACAGTCCTTGGCCAGAAGGAGGCAGGCCACAGCGCCCAAGGCAAAGGAAAAAATGCCAGGAAGCGCTGCAGGGCTCCAGCCACGGACCCTTCCCAGTTAACTAGATCACATAATCAGCTGCAATTTCAAGAACTGGTTGAGTTGTTCAAGAGTGCAAAAGAAAGTGTGGAAGTGCCAGTGTATATAAACAATCCAAAAGATTATCAAGGACAATAGAAGTCTTAATGGAGCTAGAGTAAGCAATCACAAAAGGCAATATGTAACAAAAATTCGCAAGCATTTCCAGGCATATTTTTTGTATTTATCCAAAAAAGAAACAAATTAAAAGCTAACAAACACTTCATTCATGCAAGATGACTGGGTAATAAAGTGCTCCATCAGGTTTCCAGATTACCAAAACCTACCCTTTTAGGCAAAAGAATTCAATATACGAAAACTAGTCTATCTTCTTAACTGGACAACTTGAATCTAACTTAATCTTCATCAACACCCACTGTTGGTGTGTACTTTACAAACAACAGCTTCTGGGGCAGGCACTGTGGCACAGCGCATTAAGCCATCACCTGGGGTGCCCACAAGCCCTAGTTCTGCTTCTGATTCACCTTCCTGTTAATTGAACCTTTTGGATAACCTAGGATAATCTCCCCATTGGAAAATCCTTAATTTAGGAGGTGTGCTAAGTTTGGGGAGAGTAGTCAGCTCACCCCTTAGAATGCCTGCTTCCCAGCCCAGCACAGTAACCTAGCGGCTAAAGTCCTCGCCTTGCAGGCACCCTGCGTACCGGTTCATATCCCGGCGGCCCTATTTTCCCACCCAGCTCCCTGCTTGTGGCCTGGGAGAGTACTCCAGGACGGCCCAAAGCCTTGGGACCCTGCACCTGCGTGGGAGACCTGGAGGAGACTCCTGGCTCCAGATCGGCTCAGCTCCGGCCGTTGCGGCTGCTTGTGGAGTGTTCTTCCTCTCTGTCTCTCCTCTCTGTGTATCTGACTTTGTAATAAAAAATAAATCTTTAAAAAAAAAATCCTGGTAAGACAGGAGAGTACGGCCCAAGTGCTCGAACCAGGATGGAATTTCTGGCTCCTGGCCCAGCCATTTGGAGAGTGACCCCAATATGCTGTTCTCTTCCCATCTCTTTGTCTCTCTCAGTCAAGTTAACTATCAAAAAGAACAGCTTCTTCTTTAAACCTTTCAAAAAGAGCTTCTTTACAGCTCTTCTTTGTCTTTCTCAGCTGTCAAAATATAAAAGTAAGTGCGTCTTCCAAGTTTGCATGTACCCGCAAGCATCTCAACCACCTCAGCCTACCTTGCGACTTGTCTCCAGCCTCCAGCTGGTCTCCTGCCGCACTGTGAAAACACAATGTTTTAAACCAGAGCCCTTTGTGATAAGGAGTCACATGGGCATGCTGGTCCTCCCACTAAGCATGGCTGACTAACCTGTTGCAATCCGGAAAGGGAAACGCAGAAAGTGAGTATCTATGCTACCTATAGGCTTATAGCATAAAATCCTAGGAAACAAACCCCACATGTGCTACAGCAGCCAAATATTAATCAAAACCCAAGAAGGAAGGCTTGGCTTAGCCAACGGCCTTGGTTACCCTGGCAAACAAAACGGGGGTTACTTTCACCAGGGGGAAGAACAGGGATGCAAAAGGGCATCTGAAAGCCACTGCCTTTCAAACAACGGCTCTTCCAACCTACTTTTCAAAAGTGACTTCTTAAAATATTACCATAGGAATACTTTTACAAGTTCATTTCTCATTTTCATCAACTAACCCACGGCACTAGTCCTGTCATTTTCAGCTATAGCAAATGAAATGTTATAAACCACTCCTTATTTATTTACCATAAAAATTATAGCATGTGATCAGAAGATTATATGGCATGAGAAATTAGGTCAGAAAACAAGAAGTAGCTGTCCAGCAGAGACCGATCGCTCAAAAAAACAGTACGATTTGCTTAACTTCTCAAGGCTCTCGTAATCACTCTTGTGGCGAAAACTGATGAACGCGCTACTCTCCCAATTTCTCAACTCTGGAAACTTGCCTGAGCGCAGCGGAGGTGCCAAGCGGCTACAGAACACGGCTCAGATGTGGCTCGGCTCTGCCAGTGAGGGATCCCCTGCCGCGTCCCCCGAGGGAAAAGCCTTCCACTCAGCAAGCCAGCGCTTCGCCAACCTACCTCTCCTCGCCCGGATTCCTAGCGCTCCCCTCCACCTCCCTCTCCAGCCAAATCGAATACTTGCGGTTTTCTGAAGACGCTTCACCCTTGAAACGCCCTAACGCCACTACCTAAATCCGCTTTGGGAACCTCCAAACACCACTTTCTTCAGGAAGCCTTTCCCGGGACTCCAAATGCAAAAGCCAGTCATCGCTTGCACCTTTCCCGCGCCTCTCACCTTGAGTCATCTACCTCTGAACAAGGGAGCCACCCGCTGCCTGGCGGCAGCATCAGAACCCCCGCGCTCTCGGACCAGCACCCAGCACAGCGCTTCGCTAACACGGGGCTCCGAGTGAGCAGGAAAGTTCTACGCTGCAACCAAACCTACTTTAGGAGATGCAACGCCACCACAAAACTTCGAATCCAAAAAAAAAAAAAAAAAAATCAGAAATGCCGTGAGAAATCATGAAAAATGAGCCAGTACCTCACCACGTTTTTTTGCTCAAGAATAACACTTTGTCCTCTTCTTATTCCTCAGAGACAGAAAATTACTACAGATCACTGGCGGCTTAAGCGCAGCTTTTCAAGAAAAGTTGTTTCCACACAAACGCCAGCAAATGCCTCCCTCCCTGCGAGTCTTATCCTTCCGCTTTCGTTTTGTGCAACTCATACTTTCTCCCTATTGGACAGAAGACTGGTGGGAACTTTCCCACCCATTTTTATTTTCTACTCAGACACACGAGAAGGCAATGAGTGGAGGAAAACAACCGCACTGAGAACACCCTAAAAGCCACGTCACACTCCAACCACAATAAATTTCCCGGGGTCCCATCTGCCTTGGGGAAACGTTAAGAGTGCCTGGGGGCTGCCAACGGCTGCAGCAGCCCTCCCGGTGAGGCAAACTCGGGGAAAAAAAGGTGCGGGGCACGGGATGCTGAGGGGCGACAAGGTCTGGCGCCCGAGCGGCGGCGCCGACCGCCTGCAGCAGCTCAGCTTAAACGCAGCGGAAACAACAGCCAGTCACGGGGCTGCGGGAGGCAGGGCAGGAAGGTGGCGCTGCCGCCAAGCGCCTAGAGCCCGAGAACTCATCATGGCGGCCAGGGCAATGGCCGCCGTGGGGAGCGAGCACGCCCCTCCGCGTGCTCACGCCACTGCGCAAAGGCCTCCGGTGCCCGTCACCGGCGCCGCCGCCGCCCGCTCTCCCACCCCCCCTCACGGGCTGTAGCGGAATTTTTTCTCAAGACGCCGCCTTCAAGATGGCGGCTCCCCCTCCCGGCAACCCCGTCAGTCGTCCCCTGCAGCAAGCGCCCGAGCCGCCGCCATCTTGTCCCCCGTCCCTCCCCCCCTCCTCCGATATTTACATAGCGAAAATCGGCCCGGCCGGCCTGCGGCCTTCACCTCACGCCTGCAGCCTTCGCCTCCTCGCCAGGCCTCACCCCCGCTCAGTGTCCCGCGTCGGCCGCGACGCCGATCGGCGGCCCTCAGTCGCCTCACGGACCGCCGGGCGACCCTCCCCCAACCCCCGCCCGCTAACAGAGCGCGCCTCTGCCGCCGCTCGGGGCAGCCGGGCTCCTCCCCGGGCCTAACTGCGGCCTCCTCGGGGCCTGCTTGGCGCCGTACGCCACGCCGCCCGGCCTAGCGCGGGAGGGCGCCTTGCGGGCCGCCGACCAGGCCAAGACCAGGCCGCCTCGAGCTCACTAGGCCCCACGGCCGCCGCGGCACCCCGGGACTCACCGGACTGGCGTGCAGACGGTTGCCGACGGTGGCGGGTGCTGCAGGCCGGCCTTTCTCTGGAGCACTGGGCCGGGCTCCGGCTGGTGGGGCGGGCGGAGGGAGGGAGGAGGGGCCGAGCTCGGAGCTGACAAAAAGCGGCCCAGCTCCCCGGCACGGGCCCGCCGTCAGCACGTCACGTCACCGCCCGGGAGAGAGACCCAGGAAAATGCGGAAGGGTAGATGGGCCCCCTCCTCCGCCCGGAGGGTCCCCCTGGCGCCCCGGGTCGGCAGCGCTCACGCCCGGCGCCCGGGGAGCCCACTGGCCTCGTTGCGGCGGGGTCTCGGGCGGCCTGAGTCTCCGTGACAGCGCCCCCCTTCTTTCCACCTCCTCCGCGCTCCCTCCCGCTGCCACACGCGCCGCAGCCACCGCCTCGGCCGTAAAGCCCGCGCGGGGCCGCGGTCGGTCGACCCCACGGAGAGGCAGGCGGCCGGGCTGCCCCCCACCATGGCTCTTGGGCCGCGGCCTCCCCCCGGGGGCCTCCCCGGAGACCTACCGCCTTTCGGTGTGTGTCCTGGCCCAGGCGCTGGCCCTCAGTTGTTTGCAGGCCCTCAGACCCCCGCCCGCAGTAAATGTGTTTTCTTCATCCTGCTGGATGGGGAAGAAGATAAATTTAGCAACAACCGCCATTCCCTGCCCTCACGTTAAAAAAAATTTTTTTTTGGAAATAAAATCAAAATTGGCTTACCAGTCTAAATCGAAGTGTGGGCCAAAGGCGGGATGGGGGGGTGAGAGAAGAGCTGTGCTAGCACAGCTACCAAGACGTTGACTCTCTCAAACAAAACAAATGCTCGGTCGGAGAGCCAAACAGATCTTATAAGCTGGGACGGTGGGAGATGTGAGGGGAAAAGTTACACTTTGCAACAGGCTTGGTACATCTCAATGGACACGAATCTCCCACACATGCCTTGTTTATACTTGTCTTGGATAATGATTTCATTCATGATGAACTCCGCATTCTTTAACAAATATATTATCTTAAAAAAAAAATTTTAGGTTTTGCTTATTTGAAAGTGTTGGGAGGAGAAACGGATCTGTCCGCTGGTTCACTCCCCAAATGGCTGCAACATCCAGAGCTGAGCCAACCAAGACCCAGGAACTTAGGGGTTTTTCACATGGATTGAGGGGGCCTAAACACTTGGATCATCCTCCTCTGCTTGACCAAGAAGCATTAGCAGGGAACTGGATTGGAAGTGGAGCAGCCAGGCCACAAGTGCTACCCATATAAGGATTCTGGCATTGCAGGAAGAATCATAAGATGCTACACCGCAAGACAGTCTCAGTATGGATGGATGCATAGAAAGATTTTTTTTTTTAACTAAACAAGCCTTTTAAAGTTTATAGAGACTTGGGAGAAAAGGGGGAAATGTATTTTGATTAGAGCACTTAACAACTTCAAATGCCTGCACTTGGCACTTCCTTAGTGTACATTTTTTACAGTAGCTTCATGCTGAACTTGGGATTCAATGTTGAAAAGTTGCTAGGGCTGTTATTGTACCACAGTGAATTAAGCTGCCTGTGATACCAACATTCCATATTAGCCAGTTCAAGTCCTGGCTGTTCCATTTCTGAATCAACTCCCTGGGAAAGCAACAGAAGATAGCCCAAGTGTGTGGGCCCCTGCTATCCATGTGGGAGATCTGGATTGGAGTTTGGGGTTGTGAGCTTTGGCCTGACCCAACCCCAACTCTTGGGGCCATATGCGGATAATTGTTTCTCTCCCTCTCTCTACATCTACTTTCAAATAAAGTTTTAATCCAAATATCTGACTTGCTACAATTCTTCAGAATGTTAAAAGATATGATTGAATAGTACAGAACATAAAAATTACACAGCAAATAACATTTCAATGTAAAATCTTAAATAGAGGTCATGTGTTTTTTTTTAAGTTGTAACTTTAAATATATATATATACCAGAATGTAAGTTGTCTCTTCGCTCAGACATCTGGCAATCATTAAATACAAAGAGTAGGAATTTCTGGAAGCTGTGTTTGTAAAGGCAGGTAAAGCCTCAGCTGTGATGCTGGCATCACAATGGGTGTCAGTTTGAGTCCTGGCTGCTCTTCTAATCCAGCTGCCTGCCTGGGAAAGCAGCAGAAGATGATCTAAATACTTGGATCCCTGCATCTACATAGGAGAGACCTGGAAGAATCTCGCGGTTTCAGCCTGGCCCAACCCTGGCCATTGCAGCCATTTGGAGAGTGAATCAGCAGATGAAAGATTATTGTCCCTCTCTCAGTCTCCACCTCCCCCGCCTCTCTGCCTCTCCCTCTCTGTAGCTCTGCTTTTCAACTGAATAAAATAAATCTTTTAAAAGAAGAAGAAGAGAATTAAGAAGAAGAAATCTGAGAATGTGATTTTTCTCTAGGATAGTTTTTTCAGTGATTAAATATCCTATCAAAGAATGACAATGCCAGCATGTCTCCAAAGTTTAAAAAACTTTCAAAACTAAGCAATGGTGCGTTTAAAAAAAAAAAAAACAAAATGGAAAAAAAAGCAGCTTGTGAAACTTCATTTCAAAAAATTGATAGGCAGTATTTTTAGTGCTTCCCAAAGACCTCCAATGTGTCAAAAATGGGAGTCTCACATTATCCAGACAACCATATAGGTAGCATATTCAAGACACAAAAACCCAACTTCAGTATACTTGGTTGTTTCTCCATTATTATAATCCAATGACTATAAATTCACCAATGTAAACATTTAAATAGTTTCCATGGAGCATCAAGAAAAAAAGATGTGTCCTCAACTTAAAAGATCCTTGGTTCAATCGCCTCAAAGAGCGCCTTTCCTTATTCCTCAGACATAAAGTAAACCTAACTGGTGGACAACAAAGAAAGGATGGCGTAGTTCTATTCATTATATTAAATAAATCCTTACTAAAGTCCAACAAAGATTCCATAAACAATTGTACAAATAAGTCAATTATATATATGTGTATATATATATTTGAGTTTTCAAGAAAAAGAGGAACTCATTTGTGCTTTGTTAGTGGTAGGCCATGAAGAACAGCCTTAAAAGAACAATGTTAAAAAGCATTTTTTACACTCCATTAATATACTCATGAGAAAGTGAAAAGATGAAAGAAAAGAGAACCGCATTGAGCAGAAATCATTTGCTGTCATTAGAACAGATACTTCAATGAGAGCTAAGATCTCTACCACATTTTGGTAACCTGTGCTGGGTGACTAAACACAGCATCTCTAACACTTAGAGGACCTACCATAGCTTATCTTGCCTTGCTACCTCTAATCATTGTTAGGGACCTGTAGAATTCTTTGCAGGGAGAATAAAGATGTGGTGCTTGTCCTTCTGGAAATAAGGAAGCTGTGAATGGCAGAACAAAAACATTCTTAAGTGCTTTCACTTTCTAACTTAAATAAATACACAATAAAAGAAAAATTATCTAGGGAGATTGAGAGGGAGACATCTGCCATGAATACAAAATAAGAGGTCTCAAAGCAATCAAAGGGATTTTCATTATGTACTCAAATGTCTATGCGCCTTTATAGCCGTGATTGTATATCAGATACACAAAGACATCTACTCAAGGTTTTGACAGTGCTTCAGTAACACAAAATCTCTGACATATTTATAGATCCTTGAGCCAAAAATGATACAGGCCTTTCAATCATCTTTCCCAAGAAAGATAAGCCAGAAAAGAAGCTGTTATTTTCACAGCACATCACCAACCAATAGAAATCCAAGTAGGAAACAATAAATTATTAGCTCATAAGAAAATATAAACCTTCTTCAATGAAGTTGTGGTAACTCATTACTTTATGCTCCAAAAGTTAAATATTGACCTTCCCCTGGAAAGGTGCTAGTTTTACTGAACCAAGCATATCCTATAAAATTTAACCATTTATCTGATATTTAGGCTTATACTTACCATGAACAGGTTACATCTTCTGTCAGAATTTGGTTATCTATAATTAATGCCAACTAAGAATTTTTAATCTGAGTCTTTAAACTGCACACTCAGCCCAAGAAAAATAATTTTAAACTAAACAATGATCGACAATTAGGTGATTTTTCAAGCAGCATTTTTCATATGAGTCATTAGTTGAGTAAGATGGTGTTTGGTTCCTGTAAATCACCAGGAGCAAAATTCAACATCACAGATTAGAAATCATAGGACATGACAAACAAAGCAGCGTCCCTAAAGGGGTGAAAATCAATAAATAGAGAGGTATAAAATCAATGAACAGTGCACAACCTTAATGTCCGGACTGGTAGATTCTGCAATTTTTCACTGAAGAAAGCAGGGCTCCTTGGAGAAAGGACTGGTTGCTGGCCTGGAGAAACAAAGCACAAAATGAGCCAAGAACATCTCAGACCAGAAACTAAGAGGGCTGAGCATTTGGCACACCACATGGAATGCTTATGTTCCATATCTCATATCTGAATGCCTGGAGTCTCCACTCCACTGCAGCTTCCTGCTAACGCACACCCTGGGAGGTAGCAAGTGCTGGCTCAGGTACTTGAATCCTTGCCACCCAGTGGGAGACATGGATTTCAGTTTCCCGGTGCCTAGGCCTGCTCCTGTCCTGGCCAATGCAGGTATTTGGGGAATGAATGGGAGAATGGAAGATCTCTCACACACACTCTCTCTCCCCTCTGTGTAACTTGGCCTTTCAAGTAAATAAATCTTTTCTTTTTTTTTTTTTTTAAGACTCAAAGGACATAGCAATCAATTAAAAGTGTGAACTTCATCTCAACAATTAACTGCACTAATTTTTTGTCGTGTGCTCTTGTACCTGAAATCGTAACCTCGGATTTCCTATTTGTGAAATGACACATAATCCGTGGATAAACCTGAAGAGCATCGTTAGGTGAAATGAGTCAGAAAGAAAGACAAATATTGTCTGTTCTGGTTTACTGTGTGAACTGAAAAAGGCAAATTCACAGAAATAGTTAAATGAAGACTGTAAGAGACTTGGGGAGGAGGGACATGTCGCTATTAAGACAAGTAAGTTCTGAAGACATCATACGCAGCCTGGCAACTAGAGTTAACAAAGCTCTGTTGTATTGATGATATTTGACAGAGTACATCTTAAATGTTGTCACCACACACAAACACACCACATATACAATGTTAACTACTTAAGATGATGGATGTATTAACTAATTTAATTATGTTAATC